GGGTGAGCTTAAATTTTTATTGTTTACCTATTTCTCTTTTAACAATTTAAAGAAAAATGTTTGGTAATATTTAAAGGTCATCAGGCAAGTTATGGCCTTGACTGAAATCTCTCTTTGCACAGTCACAGCTTTATAAATATATGTAGATAAATAGTTACAGCTTAAGATCAAACATTGGGTAATGTACACAGTGAGGAAAAACCAATTGCTGGAATGTGTGTGTGTGTATACCAGCTTAGCTGCCTATTCCCTAGACTAATTAGCTCTAGTTAGGTCTTCTGCCTTGATTTTTGCACTAAGGAAATGAATAGCTTCCTGATGGAAAATGTAAGACTTGTGAAATATAAATAGGTACTTCAAATGTACTTTCATGTGCTAAAATCCTTGATCAAGGAAAATAAACTAATAAATCTGTCAATCTTTAATTCAAGGAAAAATGGGTTTTAGACAGAGTCACTACTATGGCTGGCATACTAGAAAGAACATGGGATTTACAGTATTTTAGCTTTTCAGAGCCTTAGTCACCTAATCTGTAAAATGAAACACATAAAAGAGATGATCTCTAAAATCCCTTCCAGGTCTGGTATTTTGTACTAATTGTTCATTCCTCAATACAAAAATTTAAGTAGTGTTTAGTCTTCAACTATGTTATCTACATATGTAAAATTTGTGTACAAAGAGTGGTGGGGGTGGGGAGAAGAATGGAGATGGCTCTTCCAAGAAGCTCTAGTTCTGGGATTATACATAATAGATTGACATTCCCTTCTCTTTTGTTGGGAATCAGGTCTTTCTTGAACTCTTTGACTTATTACATCACTATCCCAGTAAAAGGTTTATGAATGGTGCATATCTAGGATCTCTCCCAGAAGGGAGCCAGAGACACCTTTTTAGAAAAATATTCAGTGTACGAAATATTATAGGCATAGGACAGCTATTTATTTAGGATGAGGAAACTCTCTAGTAATGCAGGTTGGCATCATCTCCACAAATTATAGTCTTAGTTGCCCAAAACATTGAGAGGTGATTTGCCTAATGTTACACAGCCAGTATGTGTCTGAGGCAGGGCTTAAATCTGTCTTTTTGCCTTTTATGCCAGCTTTCTATTCACTACTAGATTCTGTCTCTCTTCAACTTTACTATAAACTACAATAATAACATGATTTCTGGGTTTGTGTCTGATCCACAAGGTTTCGTCAGGGAAGGGTCTGTGTTATATCTAAACTCTATATCTCTTCCAATACCTAGCATATTGTTGTACACCAAAAAAAGTACTAAATAAATGTGAGAACGAATGAACGCATCTCTAACTTAACACTTTGTTGATTGAAGCAGGAAAGGTAATTTTCCCCCTATTATCCTTGCCATGAAGCTTCCTAGCGTAATATAATGCATCATACTGAAAATTCCATAAAGAATACACTTGCTAGTTGACTGAACATTTGTATAAATATACCTTTTCCAAAAGCAAGTTTAATGTCTTCCTAGGCTTTTTGTTTCCTTCTGTCAGCTCTCATTACTTTAAAAGAAAGTATTGGCAAAGCAGAATCTCGACTGTTACCTGAATTAGATTCTACCATGAATGACTTCCAGGAAGCAGCATGATGTTGGAATCAATGAAACTAAAGCATCGGACTGCACGGTGTGCTAAGCACTGTACTAATGGCAATGGGAAAGAAGGCATGATGAAATGGACATGATGAAATCCAAATTTCACAGAATAGATCCCAAAAGGATTTGGATTCAGTCAAATGGTAGCACTTAAGGACCTAAAGAGCTGCATGTGGCCTCAAGGCCTCAGGTTTTCCATCCCTGTAATCTAATCTAATAGTAAACAGATCTAAGCTAGGGTCAGAAGATGATGTCAGGATCTACCTGTATGTCTATTTCCTGTGCTCTACCCTGCCCTCCCCCATCACCCCTCTTCAGCCAGTTATATTTATTTATCTGCCCTAGGTAGCTCTGGGTTCTTTTATGACTGGCTAGACTAGGCCTCCATAGAATATGGAATTGAACAAGATATAGATTTTATCTATTGCAGACCCCTGGTTCTAGGTACAATGACACTGATGTCCAGGAGAGATTTATGACTTGAACAAAGTCGTAGACATAGTGGTCAACCTAAGGCTGGAATCCAGGTTGTTTGGCTTCCAGACTAGGGCTCTACACAACATTACCTTTGAATTATAGTTTTCATTCCCCTCCTACACCACATTCCTAGGCTGCTGATCTCTTTTTAACTATCTTCTTGGCCAAGCCCTTCAATACTCAGGACCTTTTGATTTTACCTGCCTGTTTTTTTTTAACCTAGTGCTTACCCTGATCTCCATTTGTATATGTATTAATGTTACCTTAACTGATTTTTTATTTTGTTTCTAGACTCCTAACTACCTTATCTAGGATTTCACCCAGACTTCTAATTTCAAAGTATCCTACTCCTCTCTTCCTGCCCTTATATACGTAGCTGGGGTTGCCCATGGTTTTGCTACCAAGAGTCTTGGGTTTTTATTTGAAGTTTCTCCAGCTTAATGTGTTGTTAGACAAAGCGTTCTTCATCTGTTTCCACATCTGTTTAATGAGGATGAATTGGTTTAGAGCTGAAAGGGCCTTTAGAGATCATCTTGTCTAAACTCCTCATTTTATACATGAGAAAACTGAGGCCCAGATAGTGGAATAGACTTGCTTTAATGTCACAAAATAAGTGACAATAAAGAATTATGAATAATTCTAGAATTCTAATTATCTATACCATGAGATAAAATGGAGGGTAGGGCAGCTAAATCAAGAGGAGAATAAAAAATTGGGTAAGTGGTGGGTAATGACATTCTGCCTGGCACTGTTAATCATTTCCATAAATGCACAATGTTAAGAAAAGACAACATTGGAGAATAGTTCCATAAATAAATACATACAATATATACACATATATGCATACATGTCATAAAAGATTATGTTTACTCTTTAAAATAATATTTTATTAGTCTGATATGTTCAATGAGTCAGTTTCAAATCTTGACCTCTTAAGATTCAAAAACAAACATCCCACTCAACATAATTTCAAAGAATTGGCCCAGGAAAACCATTGACTTATTAAAAATACAATTCTGCCTGCAGTCAACTTTTGCTTTGCAGCACACCCAAGTCTTTTAAATCTGTCACAAATTCATTGAAGCACAGGGAACATACTAACATATTACTACTGATTATGCTCATTCCTCAATGTAGTTTTTATTTTTTATTTAGTTTATGTTAGCAAAGGGGCTATTTAGGTATGACATTCATGCCAGAAGTAAGAAATTAAAGGCTTTTAAGATGCATTGTAATTCAGTGGATAATATCAGAGTTATGAAGACCTGGATTCAAAAGTCCCTTCTCTGACCCCTTCTGGCAGTGTGCCCCTCACAAGTCTGGTCAGCTAAGACTATAAATTGCAAAAGAGTTGCAGTTCTGCATTGGTAAGAGGGAATAGTTCACCAGGTATTCCCTATACTTGTCAAATCACAGATTTAGACCAAAACAAAAATAATTTTATATCTAAGGATGTGTGATAAAATTCATTTGTCATTCGTTGTGCATATAATTTTCCTCAGAAGAAGAATTTTCATTGGTTTTCTTCATTTTTATTCATTCATAAACATATGTATGTCTTGCTGTACAAAAAAAAGACAAAACCTGGTAATAGTGCTTGATGATAGCACTGAGTATTAACTCCTAAAATTCTCCAGCATTATTTTGGATTCTTTAATAAATTAAAGTAATCCTATGTGTAGGGCTCATAGTCCCATTCCTTGGCCTCCTGTGCCAAAGGGTTGGAAACTAAAAGATTTGTGTCTTGTAACAATTATGATTACTGCAGGATATGTTATAAAGGTTGTTGAGGCCAGCTAGTCCAGGGACTCTTTTACTTGGAAATGAAGGGCACTGAAACATAGCACTGTGAAATGTTCCTGGGCCTGCCCACAGGGGAAATACATCTCCCATGGTCTTTTTAGTTGTTGTTGTTCATTAGCAACAAAGGACACTTTTATTATCTAGGGAGATTATCGTTAATAAATTACGAAAGGGTCTTGGTTTTGTCTTTGGAGCTGGGGGTGGGGTAAGGAAAGGGCTGGATTTGAAATGTATGAACCAAGATGGCCTCAATAGACACAATGGTGGGTTTTATTCATGAGACATCATGGGGCTGAGGGAAGGGAGTAAAGGGAATAGTAACTGATTCTCATTTATACAAGAATAAGCATCAACTAGCAAGGCTGCCTTAAAGATTGTTGAAGGCTAAAGACTTTGAATTCCGATTATGGGGCTGAAGACCTATTTTTATCCTGTTTTGAGAGAGTGTCATTTTCAGTTATCTTAAATCAATTGGAAATAAATGTAGTGAGGATATAGCTGTATTCTCTTTTTCAGTGCATTTTAGAAGCAATTCAAATAAGGAAAGTGTTTTGCATGTTTTTGGTTTTCAGTGGGATGTTTTGAATTTAATGAGCTTCTCTTAAATGAATGACCTGCAGTCTGACACTGGGTGTTTAATGAATGACAGATATGGTTACTTTTTTTTAATTATCATTTTTAGCTATTATAAGACACAATGCTATTTGAGTGATGACATTTCCCAGTATTAGTGAATTTGTTTTCTCATGGGAATAGGATGAATTTCTCATTTCGTATGCAAGATCTCAGAGCCTAAAGATGTAGTCCTTTGGCAAAAAAAAAAAAAAAAATACATTGCTAAAAAATATAAAACTAAAGCCTGTCTATGGAACTAAAACAGTTGACAAAGGTAGGAAGTGTAAGACTCATTCCCATATGTTACATTCATCCTGTAGCCTACAACACTGAATTAATTGGAATTTTAAAGCCCCTATCCATGGAGCTGTAGCAGAATCTTTTTGAAGACTGAAAAACAAATTGGGTAATATTTTTTGGACATTTAAAAAATATCAATTATGAGAGGATTAAGTTGACTAGGTTGCTTATGTCTACATATTCTCTTTCCATTTCAGACCTCATGCCTTAGATTGGTTCTCACGCTTGATTTTTTGAAAGTTGAAGTGTCATTCTTTTCAATTCTTTGAACATGGTGGATTTGGACCAACTACCACATGAGCTAAACCTTGCCAAGTTCATTGCTAAAGCAAGAGGGGATGGTATCAAGATGTGCTGTAACTGGAAACACTATTTAATAATCATTCAAAGCACCTGTTGTCCTACTGTCCCTAGATCTTCCAAATAAAAATCCTGAATGAACTTTGTCCACTGTTTAAGTTAAAATTTAGTTGCCTTGGGAAGGTACACTTCTACCTTCAGGCTATATACTACTGTTAAGAGAACAGATTGTCTTCTGTGATCATCAGAAAATGACGTGTTCTGGTTAATAGGAAATCATTATGAATATCAGGTTTTGTAAGATTCCAGCACTCGAGTTGGTGGCTCCAGTTTTTTCTTGTGTCAGATATATATGTTGGAGGTGGAGAAATAGAAAAGGAAGCAAGACAAGGGGCACTGGGACTGCTCCTGGTCAAAATTACCTTCTTAGGGCATTAATTAATTAATTCATTTGGGCTAACATATTCCTCTTCTCAAAATGCAAAAATCCCCTAGGAATGTCCTAGTTCAGGTTTGGCTTTTTTTCCAGCTGATTTAAAGTCTTTTAGACTAATTGCAACACTAAAGAGACTAAATGTTGTTAAATGATAATAATGATTTAGCAGAAATCAGAAGGAATGAATATTTTGATCCTGGGGGAGGAGAAATTGATGACTTTGGCCTATCAGGTACTTTGAAAGGGATAACCAGGGTAGAATGCTGTTGCACTTGTTTTTTGTGGTGATTGTAAGGGCAAGAATTCCTGTGGCAAAGAAGGAAGAAGGTGGTTTCTAGAAGTAGGGATTAATTTCTTGGAAGAAAGGGAGGTGAGATTTCACCAAAGGAAAAATCACCCATTTTTGCTATTCACTCTAGGAGCTTGAAAGTTTGCAACCACTTGTATCTCAGAAACTCTGAGTTGGAAGGAACCATAGAAGTCATATAGTTCAAACTGTACATTTAGCCCAACCATGCCACCTTTGATCTGTAGGAGGCGAACCAAATCAACATTGGAGCATACATGGATTGCTGACTTTCCACAGTGTTACAAGAGAATGAAATACATTTAGTACTCAAACTATATAGGACATTGCTTCACCCTTAAAAAACATATATTTGGAAGGCATTTGAGGCTTTTATTATTTTATTATTATTAATATTATTATTATTTATTAAAGTTTTGTTATGCCAATTAGTTAGTATAAAATGTCAGTTAGGTTAATGTTGTTCATCTTAACATAAGGGGGCTCAAGGGAAGAAATACTTAGACTTTCTGATGAATGAATAATAATCCTGATTTGACTACTGACTGGCTGTGTGACTCAGTACAAAAGATTAATTTAGTTATCAACTTGTTTACCAGGTAAATGGTAAATATTATCCTGGTTGCCATACCCTTTCTTTGCTACTAGTTAGTCAGTCATTAAACATTTATTGAGCACCTACTAATGCCCAGTATTATACTGAGCACTGAGGATACAAAAAGAGGCAAAAGGCAGTCCCTGCCCTCAAGGAGCTTACAATCTAATGGGGGAGACAACCTGCAAAAAAGTAAGTACAAACAAGCTATATACAGGATAAGTAGGGAATAATTGACAGAGGGAAGGAATTAAAAGTAGAATTAGAGAGGGAATAATTAAGAATAGAATTAGGAGGAATTGGAAAGGCTTTATGTAAAAGATGAGATTTTAAAGGAAGCTAGGAAGGTCCATAGATGGAGATGAGGAGGGAGAGCATAATAGGCATGGGGTCAGCCAGAGAAAATGGTCATTTGATAACATGTCTGACCTTATATGTTGGAGGCTGAGCTTGAACCCAGATTTTTTTTAGCTCTGAGGCTGGCTTTCTAGCCAGTTAGATGCCTAGCTTGTTTAGAGATAAGCTCTCTTAGGATTCACATGGATTCAACCTGATAAATAAAATGGGACTTCAGAGACTGTCTTCAATATTTTTTGACCAGCATGCTATAAGAGTTGGACATTTTTTTCCTAACATAGCCAGCTCCTCATATTAGAAAAGGAAAAAGAAGACATTTTGGTTTGTTTATGTAGACCCATGAGACAAGTGAGAGGACTGCATCCCCTTCAGGATTTGTTTTCTCTCATCTCTATTTCCTAGTGATTATCAATGGGAACCATTCAGCTGAACCTCTTTCACATCCCCTCACTTTGGCCCCTGGTGACATTTTAGAATATGGTGTCTCCCCCAAAGGCTTGTTCCAGGAAATTTGTCCTAGCACCGTGCCACCCATCATGCAAAATTCCCCTGTTTAGTTTGTATTCTCTCCTTACCTGAAGTTTGCTTTTTTACCTTTGCGCACTAAATTCCATGGGCTGAATGACCATGCTCTGAAAATGTGAAGGAATTAAGCTAATCTTTTAGTCTTACCAAAGAAGCAAGATGAATGCTCCTTTTATAAAGAGGTCATTGTAATACCTCACATATTTAATGATGTTGTGATTGAGATATTATTGAAGGTTTATGGTAGTGCATTGCTACTTTCTAAAGCTTATGTGCTACTATATACAGATGAGAAACATGTTTAAAGCATGCACATTTTTTGGCTAAAAAAGCACTTTCTGGATCACTACCATTTTAACATTGTAAGTTTCTTATTTTATCTAAGGTAAAAAGTCAATGACAGTGTTAAGAACCTTCCTGCCTGGTCTTCCAAAGCATTATTACAACTTATCAACTGATACCCAGTTAGCATCTAGCTGTTTGGATGGGCAGGTGTGGGAGAGTGGGGGGGAGGGTGAAAGGGGCAGGGAAATGGAGCATTACACATAACTCTTCCTTTCTTCACTTGTCTCCATCCAGAATAGTAGGTCCAGCAAAGAAAGCCCAACACCAGCTCTATGACAAACAGGCATCTTCCCGTTTGTTTATAGGCCAAGACCCCTTTGATTCAAAACTAGCTAGTTTTTGAAAAGGGCTGTTAGGATTGGCCCTCAGAGATTGGAATCAAATAGTCATTGCATTTGACAAGCACCTACTGTGTACAAGGAAAAAAAGAGTAGATGAAAGAAATGACAAAGTAGCATTACATGTTTAGAGGGGAAAAAAGTACACTTTCATGAAGGAAACTCATCAGTTAAAAGAAGATAGGCATGATGGAGAGTGTTTCGGTGAATTTCTAAGATCAGTACCATTTTCGTGGATGTATACTACTGACTACCTGTAACAAGGGAAAAAACACGGAGAATGGCATGATTTGGCCATGATATGGAACTTCAAACAACTGCACATCTATCAGAGTACTCTCCCGATTAAAAGCAGAGCCAGTTAAATTCTTGCTGTGCCTTAATGGGGATTTCATTCTTTAAAAGATGTATTTCTAATGGATCTGATGCTGATTAATAAAAGGAAACTAGCTGTTATAGAAGAAATAATAGGGACCTCACACCACAATACAATAAAGATTGATCAAACACCTACTGAGTGCAGAACTCTGGGGGAGGTTACTGTTCCTTTTCTGAGCTTGTGATCGATAGACAAGCTGGGGAAAATTGCTTGTGTAATCTAATGCTAGTTGAAGATTTGGGGAGAGTAGATTTCAAACCTCAAAGAAAGGATGGGTAGGATTTGGGGGAATAGGCCCAAAAGGGATCAGATGCTATTCTGAATATGATGAAAATTTACTGATGGTTGTCATGAGGACATTTATTTAAAAAATAACTAAAAAGAAAATGGAAGGAATAATGGAAGATAAAAACTAGAGTGATATGGTCCTGCTTGGAAAAAAAATACTATCCATTTTGATAATTTATGTTGACAATGAATGATAAAGACAAAACAAAACAAACAAACAAACAAAACAAACAAACAAAAAGCCAGGAGAGTATTTTTTTTTTCCCCTACGCTTGGAACTGGAGAAAGATCAAAGAAGACATTGGACTGCCATTTGGTGATAGATGGTACAATAATGATAATGGAAAGATATCAGAATTATTTTCTGCCACCTCTGCCAAGGAAAATGAATGTAAAAACATTTATTAAGCATTTACTATGTTCAAAGCACAGTACTCAGCATCAAGGATTAAAGTAGAAAAATGAAACAGTCCTTGTTTTCAAGGAGGTCACATTCTAATAAGAGGAAACAACAAGATGATACATGGAATGGTAATAATAGAACAAAAATGATGTTTTGTATTTGAAGCCAAAGTGAAGAGCATTTAGATGACCTTGATGGATTCAAGTCATCTGTTCTAGCCTAATGATATTCCAGGGTAATGAAAAAAAAATTGTAAATGGGAGGGAAAACTTTGTAACAGAGTTGTCCCAAAGTGGAATAAAAGTCCTTTGGATGGGCCTGCACAACATACTGCCCTCGAGTTACTTTGGCAAGCCTCATGTTGTGCAGGCCTGCCTTAGGAGGACTTGTTTCTCCCTCACTGTAAGTTTCTAAGCATGGCCTAGATTCTAAGCAATGTCCAAGAGTGACATAATAGACATTTTCCTACAAGTAAAGAGACTACAGGTGACCTTTGAAGGCACTTTCAACTCTTGAGATTCTGCAAAGGACTTGTAAAATAGCCATTGTTTTAAAACCTGTTCAGGAATACACAAAATCTAAAGATAATATGCTTTGAATTTACAATCTATTTATTAATTCAGAAAGTACTGAAAGATTAATGTCAAGTTTTGAAATTAATTTATCCATATAAAATTCAAAGAATAAACAAGAAAGCCACAAATATAGTTATTAAGTCATAGGAAAAGAAGACCCGCAGGAAAAGATGAATGGAGCTAAAATTATTTACACTAAATAAAACAGATATTGCACTTAAAATATAGTCTTTAAATGTATAGATATTTCTATATATTATATGTATCTCATGTATGTATGTGCATGCACACATAAACACACACACACACACACCCCTATCTTATCATCTGAATGGCCTAATCAATTGAGAGCCAGCAAAACCTGTATTCAAGTCCTGCTTTTGATATACACCAGCTGTATGCCCCTACCCTCTTACTAGCTCCAAGGAACTCACTAAAGCTGTGCTATGTGGAGTGGGTGCTGATGTAGCATTACACATTAAGTGCTAGAAAGGATTTCAAGAGGCCATTTAGACCAATGTTCTCATTTTACAGATGAGGAAGTACAGGGAATTTAA